GCATTTCGCGCACTCGACACGCACGATCTCCGCAGAGGGTTGCGCGCACACCGGACAAATCGCACTCTCGCCTGCATTTCGCGCACTCGACACTGTAAAGAATGTCTCCTACGTCACGGGGCGATGATGCAGCCTTGGCAATGCATGGCCTGCTACATGTGGAAGCAAGAAGATGCATTTGTCGCTTACGGGAAGTGAACCCTGCGCACGCGTATGGCCACAGACCGTCGCGCCCGGACATATGGTGTTTGTCTCCGTACGAATTTACGACAACGTGGGAGCTGGAGCCGCTGCGGATTCCACGGACACGTAGTGAGTGGCAACAGCTGCGCGGCGCGCACTCGGATGTGACCTTGACAGCCAGGGGCGCCGCAAAATGCTGCGCGGCCGGGGCAGACAACTGCAAGGTGCGGCTGCTGCCAGGCGTCGACTTCAGAAGAGCAAAAGGCGCAGAAAGCCGGAACAAGGCGTATTATCCGTCAAGCGCCGGAAACGCGCTGTGCCACGCCTGGTGTTTGCGTCGCAAAGCCCGACCACAGTGCCCCCAGATGGCCAGCGCGCCGGTGCCGAATAGAACGGGCGAAGACACGGAGAGCAATGCGAAGATGACGATGACGTATTTTCGGGCATGGACACTGGACAAAAAACGCGCTGGAGACACAGTGCTGTACATCAAGCACTTGCGTGAGCCGGGAACGACGTGGGACAGAAGCTTGCGCAGGTGGTTGCTAAAGCTGCCATGTGCCGAGACAAAGCAATACGTGGGCAACTTCTTGAGCGTGTACCGCGTCCGGCCGGAAACCGAGCTGGACAATAGCGACAACGAGGACGACAAGGAAGAGCTGGTTGTGACAGAAGAGTTGTTAGGCATCGCCTGCCAAACACATGTGGCAGTGGAAGAAGACCACAACAAGGAAGGCAAGTGGTCCAAACATCGACGTTTGCTCGTGGACGCGTTACAGCGCGCCGAACAGCACTGGGGTGGCTGCGGCGTAGCGACGAGTGCACCGGGACAAGTGGAAAACCCATACGCGACAACCGACGCAAAGGGCGTCGTCAAAGGTTTGCATCGCTTGGCGGAGGCCCCCGCTGGGAACGCAACGCAGACGAGCCTAGAGCCGAGCGTGACGCGACGGCCCGGCCGGTTGCAGGACACCCTGGCGGCAATCGACCGATGGAGCAGCGCGGTTGCCGACGGCCCATGCAACCGCAAACAGGCCGAACTGTGTCAGCGCGTTGCGCAACAGGTCCGCGCAGAGCTGCTGGCAGAAGCCGGTGCCAGGCCGCAACCACTGCGTTGGGTGGTGCACGGGGGTCCCGGCACGGGTAAGTCGCACACGTTGAAATTGATCCGTCGTGAGCTCTTTGAGGGTATCGCCGGGTGGACGCATGGCTCGCAATACCGCGTTGTCACGCTGCAGGCGGTGATGGCCAAGGAACTGGACGGCGATACCATTCATCACGCGATGGGCTTAAATTGGCAAGGCGCGTCCGACGACAGGATCAGCGGAAGGAAATTCCTCGACCTCAGTGCGAAGGCCGTGCAATGGCGGTGGCTGATCATTGATGAAATAAGCATGGTAAGCGCTGAGCTGCTGGCAAGAATGGATTTACGATGCCGAGAGCTAGTGCGCGATCTAGCGCAGAGCAAGTACGCCCCGGGCAGCGCACACGCGCAGCCCTTCGGAGGGTTGAACGTACTAGTGGCAGGTGATTTATGGCAATTGCCACCACCACGCGGAACCTTTTTGGGGGAAGTGCCTTGGGAAATGCTGACCAAGGGGAGCAGCAAAAAAGTCGCCCACACCGTGCATGGGCAAAAGCTTGTGTGGGGCTCGCAGACGGAGAACAGCATCATCCACGGCATCACAGAACTCGAGCAATGTGAGCGCACGCGAGACACATGGCTGCAGACGCTGCAGCAGCAGATTCGGGAAGGTGCCTTGAGCGCCGACAATCACGCCTTCCTCCATGGGCACGACACAGGTGTCCCGGGAAGTTGGTCTGGCGAAAAATTGGACTGCGAAAACGCAGCGTGCCAGCAACTGCTGCAGAGGAAAGTCGTCCCTGCTCGCATTCGCAGACTCGAGTGCAAGCAATGCCAGCACGAACGCGCCTCGAAAAAGCGAGTGTTGGAAGGAAACATGAGGGGTGATGAGCAAAGGAAGCTAGAGCAAGCAAAGGCTGTGTTTGCGACGAATGCGGTGAAGTACCACGTCAACAAGCTGCGGGCGCTAAACTGGGCACGCCAGCACGGGCAGGCGGTCAAATATGCCATTGCAAAAGACACAATTTCCAGCCGGGCGTTGCAAGAAAAACCGGACTTGGGCAAAGACAAGTTGACATGGCTACAACGTCACGATCAGGACTGTGGCGGGCTGTACGGGGTTTTGCCCTTGTGCATCGGCATGCCGGTCACGGCAACCGATCACTTGGATCGCCGCAGAGGCATACTGAAGGGATGTCCGGGCACAGTTGTTGGATGGAGCTGGCATGAAGCAGCGGGCGCCGCAGCAGGGAGTACGACACAGATTTGGAATGAGCTCCCAAGTTGTGTCTTTGTCCGGTTCCAGACCAAGTCAGAGTGGCGAGTGCAGGGGCTGGCCACGGACAACGTGTTTCCGGTGACGCTCCAACGGCAAGCGTGGCATCTGGACAAAGGCCGAAAGCGGCCCATGCTGCGGGTGGTGCGACGGCAATTTCCGTTGGCACCCGGGTTTGCCACCACGGCGCACGCAGCGCAGGGCCAAACTTACGCAGAAGGGGCAGTCACGGACATGCAGATCGGCGAAGGCGGAGACCCGCTGACCGCATACATCGCTGTGACGCGAGTGAAAGATAGACACGGGTTACACATATACAGACCATTCGATGCTGCACCCTATCAGAAAGGACGCAGCGTAGGGAGAGCTTTGCTGTTGCAGGCCTGGCGCGGAGAGAGCATTGACTGGGCAACGTTGCGCATGCGGCACCGCGAGGAGGAAGTGTGTAGCGAGTGCCGCGAAAGCAAACCCAGAAGCGGGTACAGCGCCGGGCAATGGAAACGGGACGCGGACGCACGTGTGTGCAGAGAATGCGTGCGCAACTACGCGGCCAACAACACGCCCTGGCAATGCAACAGTTGCAAGGCATGGAAGCACGAAGACGCCTTTGCTAGAATGTACACGCGCCCCGCATGCACGTTCTACCGCGTGTGCCAGACGTGCGAGGCACAGAAGCGGTGCTACAAGTGCGGTACGGCCAAGCCGGAAAGTGCATTCGGGGCGGCCGCGTGGACAGGGCGCCATGCACACCGACGTGTCTGCAGGGACTGCGCCATGAAAGTGAAGGGTGCATGGCGCTGCGCCGTGTGCGCGGAACGTAAGGCGTGCAATGACTTCAGCGCCTGGTCCAGGCAGCGCACTGCGCCGCAAGGGGGAACGCAGCGTTGCAACGCTTGCGTCCTCAGCGCGGCCCAGCGCGCAGCAGCGCAGCGCGCAAACGACGGACGTGCGCGGTGCAGAGGACGGCCTGCCCGGGCGGATGCACCGGTCGACAGCTGCCACGGGCAGCGGTGGCCACGAAGTGTCGCTCATAGAGCCATACGGCGCCTGGCTGCGACGCGGACGAAAGTAGCCGAAGAAAAGAGACAGCAAGTCATAGGTCTTGTACGGGAAGAGATCGCTGACCATGTGCGACAGAAGCAAGCCGAGGATGAGGTGCTCTTTCCCCGGGCGCAGGAGCCGAACCGGAGCAAAGAAAGCCAGACGGCTCAAAGCAAGACGGAACCGGAGGCACAAAGGCTCTCCACAGACAGCATGCCGTCGCGCAAACGCCGCATGGAACCACGACAAGACAAGCGCGCACAGCCGACGCCCACCAAGACCCAGCCCCGCACTCAGACAATGCAAGTAGCACAGGCAGAGCCTGCAGCGAAGTGTGCAGAAGACGTGTCGGTGAGCAGCCAAGCCAGGACAGCGCCTCCGCCACAACGAAAGTCGCAGGCAAAGCCGCAACAAGCGACGCAAGCCACCCCGACCGTCGCGCAGACGACAAACGCACCGCCGGCAAAGTTGGCTGGACAGACGGCCGCCGCGGAAACGTTCCAATATGCGTGTCCGTTTTGTGAGGTGTCTGTGACCAGCACTGTGCGCACAGGCCAAGTAGATCACCGCCGTGTGTGCGGGAAGTTGTTTCGTGTCAAAGACGGACACGTTGCCGCCAAGAACTTAGTCTATGCGTGTCCATTTTGCAATGGAACTGTGGCGAGTAACGTGAGGACAGGGCGGGTAGATCACCGAACCGTGTGCGGCAACCGATTCCATGTGAAAGAAGGCACGGTTAGCACACAGACGCGGCAGCATGAGGTGCTCGCTCCCCGGGCGCAGGAGCCGAATCGGAGAAAAGAACGCCAGATGGCGCAAAGCAAGACGGAACCGGAGGCACAAAGGCTCTCCACAGACAGCCTGCCGTCGCGCAAACGCCACATGGAACCACAACAAGACAAGCAAGCGCAGCCGACGCCCACCAAGACCCAGCCCTGCACACAGACAACGCAAGTAGCACAGGCAGAGCCTGCAGCAAAGCGTGCAAAACACGTGTCGGTGAGCAGCCAAGCCAGGACAGCGCCGCCGCCACTACGAAACTCGCATGCAAAGCCGCAACAAGAGACGCAAGCCACCCCGACAGCCGCGCAGACGACACTCGCACCGCCGGCAAAGTTGGCTGGACAGACGGCCGCCGCGGAAACGTTCCAATATGCGTGTCCGTTTTGTGAGGTGTCTGTGACCAGCACTGTGCGCACAGGCCAAGTAGATCACCGCCGTGTGTGCGGGAAGTTTTTTCGTGTCAAAGACGGACACGTTGCCGCGAAGAACTTCGTCTATGCGTGTCCATTTTGCAATGGAACTGTGGCAAGTAACGTGAGGACAGGGCAGATAGATCACCGAACCGTGTGCGGCAACCAGTTCTGTGTGAAAGAAGGCACGGTTAGCACGCAGACGCGGCAGCATCCGCACACATGCCCAGCGTGCCAGACTGTGGTCTGGTCATCACAGTTGTTTGGGCGCGTTCGGTGCCAACGCAACACGCCAGCGGGAAAACCATGCCCGAAAAACACGTGGCAAGTTCAAGAGCGCAAGCACGAAACAAAGAAATAGAGTATAGACCAATCATCCGGAAGCTGCGGAGGGCAGGCCTGCTGCCGATAAGAGGGCAAGGCTGCGGTTGCGATGCAGGAGTAGGCCAAAGGCGCTGGGGCTGCAGTGCACGGGCTGCACGTTCCAGAGGCTCTCTCCCCAGGCTCCCGCCTGACGCAGAGGCAAGGCAAGGCTGCGGTGCAGGAGTACGCCAAAGGCGCTGGGAAGGGTTTGAAGGCGCGCGGGGGGTTCAAAGGCGGTGCAAAGTGCCTAACGTCGCTTTTGGAAGCCCATAAGAAGAGAAGAGGCAGGCCTGCGAGCTGCCGAGAAGAGGAAGAGGGCAAGGCTGCGGTGCAGGAGTAGGCCAAAGGCGCTGGGGAGGGTTTGCAGCCGCGGGGGAGGGTTTGAAGGCGGTGCAAAATGCCTAACGTCGCTTTTGGAAGCCCATAGGAGCACGGGCTGCACGTTCCAG